GAGCCGGCGCCTCCCGGCAGGCGGGCGCAGCCCGTGCCCGGCCGGCCCCGGGGGTGCCGAGGCTCCCTGAGGGAGAGCTGGGGTCCGAGGAGGGCCGCGGGGCCCGGGCTGGGAAGCGTGGCGAGGCTGCGGTCCGGCGGGTTGCGGCGTCGAGAAAGCGGTGCGGTAGAAGCTGCGGCTAACAAAGCCCTGCGTTCTGGAGCAGTTCCTGGTGGGAGCAAGGGGACATCTGCCGCGTCGTCCTCTCGGCGCGAGACGGGATGCTTTCTAAATAGGAGCGGAACGCGAAAATGCCGCCGCGCTAACTCTGGGCTTTTTTCTTTGACAGCCAGTAGAAATAGATATGATTGTAGGAAAAGACCGAGAGGGTTTCTTCACCAATGGTCTGACCCTTGGTGCGAAGAAGTGCTCTGTGATCAGAGATAGCCTGTATGTCGATGGCGACTGCACAATGGACATCAGGACAAAGAGTCAAGGTGGTGAGCCGACGTACAATGTTGCTGTAGGCAGAGCTGGCCGAGGTAAGCGTGATTTTCTTTGCTTTCAGATCACTGAATTATGAATGCGGCCCTAAGCATAGACTCCAGCTATTAAGAAAACCAGGCCCCGGTATTTAACGGTTCGTTTCAGGAAGTGACGTAAGGGGGGGTAGATGGCAGCAGTCTGCCTGACAAACTGGGTTTCTGCCTAGGAATCGCACTTGTCCCTGTTCCCACCTGTGATCGCAGCTGGGCCCTGGGCTCTGAAATGGTTAAGCAGATCTCTGGCAGGCAGGAAAGAGCAGACCACGCACGGCTTGAAGCAAGCTTACCAAGTATACGACAACTCGGTATCTAAAGCTTACGGTAGGCTTCTGTTAATGATTGGTAGTGAAACTGGCTTTTCGTTGTAAACTTCTCATCGGAAAGCTTGTTCTGTAAAGATGTGAATTCCTTGTATGAGCTACTCCTACTTGCCTTTTAACAAGTTCTACACTAACTCTTCTTCCACTTCCTATTGAGCACTCTGAAGTCTCTCTTCAGGCAAAAAAGCCTGTCCAATTTGGTATCATGGAGAAACCTGTTTTATGCTAGTACGCCTACTCCTTGTGCTCCTCATTTAACTTCTAGTAAAACATGCTACAGGGAAGGCACTAGGGTTGGATATAGAAAACTTGCCTCAAAATACTGGCTACGAGTAGTATGCCTTGTGTTGAAAAATTATCTGGCCTAGCATTTTTTGGCTGGCCGTAGAGCAAAGGGGTGAGCAATGGACTTTTGCTCGTAAGTATAAAACCAAAACTAGTGCAAAATTTGCCTATAGGATAAAGCTGGGTGGCAATGATAGAAGGAAGAATGTTTGCAGCGCTGAAGTGAAACAAGCGGAGGTCTGACTCGGCTGCAGATTGTGAAATGCCAACAAGAACTGTCTGTCTGAAGCTTTTTGTGAGCAAATTGCTACGGAGATGTACAACCACCTGTAGGCAGGATGACTGCAGTATTTCCAGTTACAGTATTCCTAGCTTGGGAAACAATTGCTGTGCTTGTGGAAGCACAGTGCTTATTGTGTCTGTGTACCTGCTGGTGACATCTGCTGGCAACTCACAAGTGGTGTTTACTGGTGGAGGAGCCTTGGGATGTTCTTGTTTGCAAGACAATTGGGACACTTCACCAAAATCGTGGGATTAGAGAGGGTGTTGGCATTAAAATCTTGCCTGCGTTTTGTCTTATGCAAAAAGCATGTCTTACAGTTGTGTTGTTGCATGAGAAGTCATAGCCCAAGTCGGACCCCATGGGTTTTTTTGCTAGTATCAAGGCAGTCACTCTGGTTCTTAACACCAGTAGTGACCACTACAGATAAGAATACAAGAATATTACCTCTTCTGCTCTTCAGAGTCACAGTTCTTCTACATACTCTACTACTTTTGTCCCTGACAACACTTTTTCCTCCCCCCCCCCTTGGTTTTTTTTAAGATGCAGCCAGGGTTTCCTTGCTGGGTGATGACGGATGGTGCTGATCGTGGAGAGGCACTGTGATGCTTTTTTGAGATAGTTGGTGGCATTTTTCTTAGCAGTGAACTCTTATGACTTGCATAGTTACGTAATATCCCTGAGGATAACTCGTGCCTTCTCCCAGCTCTGTCTACATCTGTATTTTTACAAAACTCCTGTTAAACTAGCTTAATACCCAAATACTAAATCTTGAATTTGAGTGTGTTTATTGCACTGCCTAAAACTTGCATTATTTCCTTGTCTAACACACTCTTTTTAAAACTTTTTTCTTTTCTCTTTCAGTCTTGGTCTTTGTAATGGGCAAAGAAGGGGTCCATGGAGGCGGATTGAATAAGAAGGCATACTCAATGGCAAAATACTTGAGAGACTCTGGGTTCTAGTTGCTAGGCAGACTGTTAAGTATTAGGGGAAGATTGCTATTAAACTTTCCTGGCGGTGAGCTTTAAACCTTACATTCTGGAAACTTTATTAGCAATGCAGGGTGATGGGGTATGAACCTGTGTCTCCTTTGTATCCCTTTGTTGGTGGGGAAAGGTGTTTGTTTTTTTTTTTTTTTCTTTAATTCTGTTCATTTCTGTTTTGTTTCCTTGTGTACTCCAGCATTGGTTATAGTCATGGGAAAGGAAGGTGTCCATGGAGGGACACTCAACAAGAAAGCATATGAACTGGCTTTATACCTGAGGAGGTCTGACGTCTAAGCAGCCTCTCCCCATCCAACTAGCAACTGTCTTCACCACCACCCAGTTGTGTTCAGTGCTACCAGACTGTAGATGGTAGTTTTGTGTTTTTTATTTACCCCATTTCCTAATGTCATAATTCCAGTTACCCTTTGTTCATTTATATGTTAACCACTGTATGTAACCAAGTCCCATTATCTGGCACCATTACTGCACCACAAAGATGATATGCATGATACCTTGAAAAATTCTTGGGAGGGGAATATGCCAAGTGTAGGCTTTGCTTTGTCTTAGCAATTAGTGTGATATTGACAACTAAAACAACTTAAATACTAAACAAGGTGCCGATTGTACAATCTAATTTGATCAATGCCTCTTCAGCACTTTGAGCAGTGACACAGCTCACTAGTCTTCCTTTCATAGAGCATGGTTGGGAGGAAAAAAGTGCATGCATATCTTTACTTCTGTCCCTTTTTTTTTTTTTTAAATCCACATTTGTTTGCTTACACCCATTTTTATAGTGCCTGGTTTAACCAATTTGCCATTCAAAAGCTATTAATGTTACATTAGTTTTGTCGTTGCACTTCACTGTAGGCTTAAGTCTTTTATTTTTTCTTCACGATGTCTGAAGCTTGTACTGCTTAACGAGTGCAATCACAAAACTATGAAAGGGTACACATGCACTTCCTCCCATGACCTTAAAAACCACCATCCTGAACGAATCCCCAGACATTCCATCATTGCAATAGCTCGGGCACTTTTTTTTTTTTTTTTTTTGCCAGCTCCTGTTCTGTAGTTGAATTGTAAAAGGCTGCCATTATGGACATTAGATATCCCAACATAACCATCTGGAGTGTGTCTGGTTTCAGTTTTTCATAGGACCAATTTTAATTTGCAGCTTGGGGGTTGTGGGGGTTTTTTTGTTTTTGTTTTTTAATATGAAACTGCAATGTCATTGTGGAAAACTGCCACCTTCAGCTATACCGGGAGCTCTGACTGACTCCAGTCCTTCTGCCAGATTACTTACTGGTAAAGAGTTTTGCTGCTCTGAAGCCACTGTTTGGATGAAGGTCGGTAGTTTGAAAGCTAAACTGTCAAAATGATGCCATTTCAAATTTAAAATCTTCATTTGGCCTGTCACACCCTTGCTGCAGAAATTATGGAGTGAACTGCCTTGTGCACTAGTCATCTGAAATGTCTGTAACCAAACTCTCAGTTCAGGCACGGTACTAACTTGTATGTCCATTTAAAGAGAACTGCAGAACTCTGTATACAAAAGAATAAATGGGAGATGGTATTGGTTGGAATAACTGACTTGGCTGTCTTGTGATGAATTTTTTAATACGTATTCTGTGCCATACTATTGTTAAAAAAAAAAAAATGAACTGTTGCTATTGTGAGATGGATTTTAACTGACTACAAGGGTTTCTTTCGAATGGCACTACTTTAGGGACATTCTAGTATTTGCTTCTGTTGTTGGGCCTTGTGGATAATGTACAGATTTAAACAAATTCTTGTTGCTGATTTGTCCATTTCTTTCCCTGCACTTTGTTACATCTGGGATACAGTCTAACTCATCTGATTTAATATGCATTTCAAAAAATGCCATAACTATTAAAAACACCTTGTTTACAGACAGATGAAATAAATTTATTCCAACCAAACGAAATCAGACTGTTTGTAATTTTTTTTTTCCCCTGACAGGAATCCTCTGAGGCCCATCTGCATTGCATGGCTGGCTACACTAATAGTAGCTAGAATTGCGGTTGTAAGTTCTGCAAGACAGCCGTAGTACAGTAATACAACTGTAGTCAAAGGCCAGGCAGTCTTTGGGGGTAGATCTCTTTAAATTAGGAGATGATTTCTTGGCACTTAACTGCACATTTATCCAACTCCATGGCGAGGGGGTTCTCCTGCCACGTGAATGCCTAATAGGCAGTCCCTGGAACAGAAGCAAGAGGAGACCTTTGCTGCACAATCTGTTCATTAGGGTATGGGGTGGTCTAGCCAGAGTCAACCCACTGCAGGGTAAGAACATGCTCTCCTCAACTAGGGAAGGGAGAGATTTAAGGTCTGTTACCCCAAAAGAATTCCACCTGGCTTCTGGTACTTCTGCTACCGAAGTACTCTGAAAACATGGGCCCTGCGAACAAAGGTGATCGTGAACAATGGGAACTTGGGGGATGGGGAAAGAAAGAAAAGTCCAAGCTACAGGAGGTTAATCTTTAGCTAAGGCTATGCTTTTCTTGGTCCTGACAATGCCAGTTATGTGCTGCTTGGGCATTAACATTAAAATGCCTTTGTTCTCTCCTCTCTACCTCTTAATCTTCAGTGTAAGCTTGTACCTGCTCTGCTCCGGATCTAACTTAAAACCTTTACATACAAAGTGTTTATCTTCTCCTCCAACTACTCGAGTTGCTTAGTGTCTGAACTGTATCCTGCAGCTCTTGGTGCTAAAGTTAGAACAGACTTAACAAGCCCATAGCACTAAGCAAGTTTACATTTAGTAGTAACTAGCAGAGAGTGCAAACCGCTCACTTCCCCCATAAAATTACATTAGTGTGTGGATCTGTGTTTCACTCTCTATCTAAACTTTGTCTAAACCCAATTTAAAATTGCACTCACATTCTGAATGGATTTTTTTTTTTCGGGGGGGTGGGGTGGGGTGTGTGTGCAGTGGGGTGTGTCTGTCCCTGGAGCTTTTCTGTAATAAGGCCATAGCCAGAATTCACTGTAATGGCAGCTCAGGAATAGCCATTAGCAGTACACACCAAGTACTCTTCATCCTATTCCTTATTTATTTTAATGTCATTCCTTTCTGATCAATTCCCCTCTCCTGAGCAGGTCTCTGTATGTATGTCACCTGTATACTTTTTCTTGGTAAGAATTAGGTGTTGCTCAAAGTACTTTTTCAAATGCATTTATTGTTGAATTTCCACAGCAGAATGGTGTCTGTGCACCTCATTTGCTAGGGTCTACCTCAGATACCTTTCTTGAATTACCTGGACTCTCAACAAATTTAACCCCCATTTCCAGATAAATAGACAATTTAAATACAAAGGGTTATTCTCCTATGCTAAAGGTTTGAACACTAAAGTGTGACCTAGGTCAGAAATTTGCGTTTTTTTCCTTGCAAAAAGTTGTTAGAAGAGATACAGTGAAACACTGTCTCAGACATTAAAAAGTTCCGCGTGGAAAAAAAGCTCTCGGATGGCTCATACGCTTTAGAAGTATTGCATCTTTTCTTACATCAGCAGTTCCCAACCGTAAGGAAGCCAAGCACCTGCCCCACTCTGCCCTCTCCCCTCCCCCCCCCTTTTTTTCTTTTGTGGCATATATGTTCTTATTCAAGGCTTGGGTAGAAGAACAGAACTGACATTAGAACAGAACTTACATGAGTGTTTTAAAAAACAGATGAGGATAAAGGAGTAGGAAAGAGGTGCAAACTAAGAGCAATAGAGAAGAGGCAGAATTGCTTCAAAGGGTGGGTTTTTAAGGGTAGTTCTCAAGTTGTTCAACCTCTCCAAACTCAGGAATATCATTCACTATTGACTGAATTGCTTCACTTTCTGAAGGCTCACTTCTATCCCCAATTACTTACACCTCTTAGATTGCATGGCACATGCTGGAAGATGATGAAGGCTGCATTTATGTGCAGAGTATCAGGGCTTTACAAGTTTTTAATGCTGACTTCCAGGCCATTCTAATCAGTCCCTTACTTTCTCTGAAATACATTTCTGAAGTTAATTGTCAGTGTGCTTAGTTTCTGCACTATAATAATTCACAGACAGATTTTAATTATACCAGCCATTATTATTTAGACTTTCAGAGGGTCTTACTTTTATAATGAACATGTTATTTAGAATTGTTAGAATTCAGTAGAAACATTTAACTATCCTGAACTGCTGACCGCATTGCATTTTTAGACATTACCCAATCTTTAATATTCATTATATTATTTTGCATGTAGGTACCCATTATTACCATTTGATTCAAACCCTGGCCCTGGAACTCCCCCAACATTATGCACTGTCAAGGGAGGATAAGCAGAGTTGTTTGTTTTTCTATCTAAAACTTCTCCATTCCTTGATTACTGACCTGTCAAGGAAAACACTTGTCAGACCCATCACTTTTTTCCAGTTGCTTTTTACTGGATTATTCCTGCCCCCAAGCCCCCCTCCAACAAATGGAAGCTTAGTTTCCCTTCTGAGGGCAAGTTTTAATTCCTGTCCTCTTTTGGCTCCTTTTTCAAGTAGTTTGTTCTCATTAAGCAATGAAAGGTTTGGTGCAAGCTTGTTTTGTAAGGAGCTATTCATACTGGTCATACAAATAATATTTTGATAACTGCCAATGATGCCTGAGCTGTTTTATGCAGAGGGATGATATGTGTCAGAGGTCCCATGAAATACTTTTAACTTCAGACACTAGTTACAACTACTTATTAGAAGAAATTTTTTCAACTAGGCAATCAAGTATGAACCACTTTAAAGCACGAACATCCTGTTCTCGAAGACAGGCAGAGACTGAAGTTAGATCAACAGACTTCACATAAGCAAAAAACCCCGGGAGTCAGCTGTTTGTGGCGTATGGTGAGAAAATGGTGCTACTTCATGTGGATAATGTAGTAGGTCATAGCCCAAAGAAAAATCCGTATTTTATCTTTTCCTGTGGGTTTGGAGAGGCCATACCTTTGGAGACGGAAGATTGATCCAGCAAGTTTTAATGAAGTATGCAAGTTCTACTTAGAAATGCTAAGAGATACTTAACCTTCCAAAGTATTTCTAATAATAAAGTGCTATTCCTGCTTTAATCTTCATTTTCATTCTCACTGGCAACGGCAACTGACAGACTGTATCTGTGGCACAAGGGACGTATAGCAAGGGGAGTATCACTATGATGTTTACTACCAAGGCCTGCTGAAATAAAATTTACATTAATACCATCAGGAAATTTAGAAAATGGAACAGTTTTTTTTTTTAAATGTACAGTGTATTTGTGATGGAAACAGAATACCCTTTGCTCCACACACTTCCTCTGTATAGCATGGAGGATAGCAGGTGAGAAATTGGTAAGAGTGTAATTTTACTTTTTCCCATTGCAGCAAATACTACAACCAGAGTTACATATGGCATAGGTTATAAAATTTACTTCAGTTCATGGTTCTGGATCTCTTCAGGTTTTGGGGTGCCTGAAATACAGTTATGAATAAACACATACTCAAAACATACAAACAGCAGGAACCTATTTTAAGAAACACCTTTCAGCTTAGTAAATTTTCAGAAATCAGTTTTCACATTTAGACTTAGACATAAGCAAGCTGAAGTGGAATTTCACATGGTGAAAATACAGTAATACATTATTTGTTGTTAACGCCATGGATTGCTGGTGGCAGTGGAGATGAAGGTGAATCATTCTTTCATTGTTATCCTTTTACCATGCCTCATTCTGCAAAATAAACTCTCTCTGCTCTTAGCCAGTCCCAGAGAATTGATTTCCATTGCCAGGTTGAGGCAAGGAGGGTGTAGCTGCACTGTGTATTAGGTCAGAAATAACAAAAATGGAAACACCTCACCTGTCATCACCTCAGTCCGGGATTTGGTGTTTTCTGACTTCCAGAACACAGGCTCACAGACTGCGGCTCTAAAGGTGTTGGCAGGTAGGCAGGAAATATTAATAGCACTCTGGTCCTCCTTCCCTCTCCCCCATACAAATTACAGGTACAGACCCAGACTGATTCCAACTTCTCAAACTAAAAGTGAACAAAAATTAAGGTTTTCTATGTAACTTAGTTCTCCTGCATATAGCACTGACGAGTGCAGCACTTTGTACTGTGATACACAGCACAACGTAGGTTAATGTTTACCAAGGGATCTTGACAGTTGCATGTTCTGGATATTTAAAAATACTTGAACTTTAGTAATAAATGTAGAATAGTACACAATGAATGTAAGTAATGCAAAAGTTCAATAAATTCCTTTTGATACTTAAAGTGGAAAACATGTTTATTAACATTCTTTCAAGCTTTCCTTATTCAAGGCCATATAAAAAAATCTCTGCATTTTGAGTATACGTATGTTTTTACTTTCTACATAGTTACAGAGGTATTATATAGCATTTTTTTTTCATGATACACTGGTAAGTACTGAGTTCTGTTAAACAGTTATAAGCACTTGTTTTCAAATTCGGTACTTGAAAAGAACAATTTTTTTATATACATAGTTTAGCAGACTAATGCAGCATAAAATGCTCTTTAGTAAGAGGTATATGAGTTGAGGATCAATAGAATACTTACCTAAAATTATTTTTCTATGTGGAACAAAACCTCTGTTTTGATCACACGCTCCCCCCGCCCCAACTCCCCCATCATTGCTGGAAACCAGACCACCTCGTAGTAGCAAGTAGGGATAATTAATGAGTTTATGGTAGATCTTACCTTGTGAATTGCTCAAAACTAAACATACGTTCTAAGTTTCCTTATCCTAGGAATTGCTTAGTGGAACTGCTTAAACTCAGATACTGTGGCAAACTCCAAAGGATTATGTGGAATCGCTGCTTTGAGATAAAAGTGGAATTTCTTCTGCTTTGTTCTTATATACCAGCTTATAGAATATTGATCTGTTCTACATTTTTCTTTCAGTAGTGGTGACAGTTTATAGGAAAACTCT